CATTCCATAATTAGATGAACAAAAGCCGAACATCAGATGTTATGGACAACAAAGTTGCTTTTTTGACAGTACCATTTGCTCTAACCGATACGACACTCGCTGCAACCCGCAGCAGGCCTTGACAAATCATTTTACGAAAGACAGTATTTGTCGTACCTCTAACCTATCCCTCTGTCCTACGACATGGCTTAGAAAAACTAGTCGGTATTTTTGATTCACTGGCAACTTTCTTTGTTTTAACTTCCGAATACTTATTCTTTTTGTTCTTTAACAGCTGTAGTCGCGAAACTATTCTTTTAATGCGATACCTAAATGCAGATAACTTTAGTGATTTAATACCACAAAACCTTTGAAGAGTATCGCCACATGACGCTTGTGCCTTTTCCAAAAAACCTTTTTTTTAAGATTTCTCTTAAGGGTCTACAAAAATATACTTTCCATGTTCAGTCAATCATTAAATGGAACATCTGTACATATCCTTCTAGAAATACTGGACAAACGTTACTATAAATGTAAACTTTAAATAGTCTCAAAAATATACCACTTAAGAAGTTTTCATGTTCCAAACTGTCATGTACTTCGTACATATACACTCTGGAACAGTGTACAAAATTGATCGATCAAAAAAAATTTAACCAAAACATGGATTCCACGCAGGTACAAGACATGTTCACCTTGGAACAGTGTTTGAGAATTTGGGTTTTTACAATTTAATTGTAATGTGAACAATCCTTTATCTAAGTTCACTTCTATGTGATTTACTTATCTCAGAAAAGATGAGGAGAAAAAGTTTCAGTTAATTTTCCAAAAAAATTAATTAAGTCTTTGAACTTCTCTTATCTACATTTAAATTAATGCCTGCCTTCCCTGTGACAGTGCAATAAACATTTTAACATTTCTTCCAAAATAATAACTAACATTGGGGTCCCATAATATTTATATGTACATCTTCGTGGGGACAGTTCAGGATAATATCTTCTCTGTGTTTTGATAATATCACCCCAAAAAATGCTGTAAAATGATGTAATATTCTGAACTATTGACTGATGTTAACAGCTTGGGGGTAGTAGCATGAGTGTAAGTGAGATTCCACTCTCCAATCTAACTTTTAAGAAAAAAGTATTGAAGCTAGAAGGGAAATCCATCCTTCTATTTACAGTGCGACATTTCACTTCCCTAATCTTGCATTATGATGTACTAATTGTACATGATTGTAGTACAGGTCTCCCCGCCAACTAAACATGAACACACGATCAGAGTTATCAATTTAAACAAATGGCATCCACCCTCTAAGAATTAGAGATGTGATCTACTCATTCACACTTTTTAGCAAGAATTGCAAGATTCTCTTCTCAGCTGATTCTTGACATTTTGCTTCCAACTAAACATGACCACATGATCAGAGTTAACAATTTGAACAAATGGCATCCACCCTCTAAGAATTAGAGATGACTGTGATCTACTCATTCACACTTTTTTAGCAAGAATTGTGAGATTCTCTTCTCAGCTGATTCTTGACATTTTGCTTCCAGGACCTGACAACTCCACTCTCACCAAGACTAGGGTCTGTATGCCCTCTTTTTTGAGCTTGGATCAATCCCTGACTGGAAAATAAGCTGTCAACTTACAGCACTATTCAGTCATTTCCACCTTGTTTACACAGCACACTTGTTCTGGAATTTCACTTCTTCTACACTGCATTTTCCCGGAAGTAAACCATACATGAGCCTGTCATCCAAGAAAAATGAGCAGGTAGAAAAGTGTAAGAGGTGTGAAAAAATCTCTTTTAATTAGCACCTCCCTTCACTCAAATGCCCTGTCTGCCCCAGTCTCCCAAACCCTCTCCTCGGGTTCTAAAAGACAAATCACTTGTTGCCCAACTATTTAATAATTAGTGTACCGTAAGCAATTATGGAATGAGGTTGCGCATGACACCATGAATGACCAAAACCAAGGTCTAAATTATCACACAGACACGAGGTCTGATCATTAATTTTATGATATCATGCAAAAAAACCAAATTCAAATTCAATTTCCTAAACAACTTGCAAAAGAAGACACTGGGAGTTGGGAAAACAAGTATCCTCTATTAGAGGCACCCCCTTCCTCTCTAACTTAACAAAAATTTGAAAGAGGTACCCAAGGTGTTACTTCAACAATTTTCAGTACAGCAGGTTGATTCAATATCAGGGAACACTGATCCTTAAAATCAACTTACTGGTATTCTTGAGGGAATAAATTCTCATCCACCACAGCAGTAGTTAATGGAATGGTACTGTCAGTTGAGCTTGGAAATTTTTGCCAACTGATGGTCAAAAAAATATCTCAAAGTTACCCTTTGAAGTGAAACTTTAAATTAAAGAAACGAAGAATAGTTCAACCTGTCTGAAAACATCTCTACTAACATTTTACACTGTAACTAATCAAACTTCAATGCATCAGGAAACACTTTACAATAGTCACACCCTCTTAAAAATTACCCACCTGTTCTGCTTGCGATGCCGAAGAAAGAAGAGAAAAATTGTCACAGGAACCATGAAAATGATTACAACTGCAGCTGTAACTGACAATGCAACAACCAAATGGGTCGATGGATTCATAGGCTTGGATTCCAAAGGAGAGCCCACTTCCTGATGGGCCACTGCAGACACTTGGGATGAGGACACAGACCCAAGGACCCCAGCTGTTGGGGAAAAAGGTGTTTTCTTCCCCTTGTCCCTACTGGTGGCCACATTGAGTGAATTGGAAGAAAACTTTGTTGTGGTAGGGGTCACCACATCAACAGGACCTATGAAAAGAAAGAGAAATATTGGTGAGATGTTTTGATTTACCCGCAATACCTACCATTATTGATACTAAATTTAACTGCTGCTAAATTTAAAAGCCGCTTAACCCTTTAAATACCATAGCAGATCAGCACCAAGTTTCTCCATACAATAGTACTGCAGAATCAAAGATAATGACAATAAAGGAAATAATCTCCAACCTAGGCTGATGGTAAAACCATTTTTTTCTTTTCACTAGCAAAGTGCAAATAAGAAGAGGACAATGGAGAATGCAGATACTGATTTTGGGGTGTAACAGGTTAAGGCTGAAATTAGATCAATAACAAGGTCATTTTGCTGTGTTCTTGGAAATGAATTTTGCATTGCCTCTATCCACCCCAGGAGAACTAACAAGAACCAAAAGGGGTGTGGTGCATTTGCATTTGATTGGCTGTAGTCTTCAGCAGCACCTCAATCTCCCAAAGTGCTGGTAAATTTAATTTTTTTTCATTACACACACGGCATGATGTACTTAAGAGCAGCTGTAGAATACCTGTTTCTCTTGTCACAGTTGTTTCTTTTCTAAGAGTAGCAATTGTGGAAGTAGGGGTTTGATGTTCTGGCTCAGCTGTTGTGGAAGTTGTTATTGTCTGTGTTGTATCTTCTTGTAGCTGAGGAACACTCTTTGAAGGTGGTATGGGGCCTGTGAAAAGGAAAAAACAACTATTCATCAAAAATAGATTGGTTGTTGTTTACCCCCATATTTAACGTCTGAATTTAGTTTAAATACCCCATCAACTCCCCTCAGTATTCACTGAGTTCTCAATTTGCATCTAAAGCTGCAGGCTTTAAGCATAAATGAGTTTTCTCCTCCCTACTTCTCTTGCCATTCACTTAAATCTAATCTAATCATTTTTGTTTTTGTTTCAGTCTTTTGTATAAACTTTGTTTGTTTTAGTACAAAATTCACTTCAATTTGAAAGCCAGTCTTAGCCTCTTCTTTATTACTTATTAAAGGTTTTTTATGCACTGTCCAGTAGTACAATAAATGCAGGAACAAATTAGAAGAAAAAAAAAAGCAGTTCCCATTTTCTCCTCTGCTTGTGGCTTGTATCTTTACATGCTTCCCTCCTCCTTCAAACAAGTGCAATGCCTCACAGGTACCACATTAAATGACACACTATTTACTTACACTTTGTAAGACCATATAGCTCCAAGCGCATACACACTCTAAGTCTGTACTTAATGGGATAGACTCTAATATATCTTGCAGATATCTCTGGATTGAATGTGTTTGTAACAGCTGTCTGCACATCTGTATTGCCCACCAAAACCTGTAATAATATAATCATGTATACATTCCTTATCAAATTTTCTCCAACTAAATTATACATGGTCTTAAATCTTGACTTATACTGCAAAAGTTAAAGGCACTCCAGACTGACAACAATTTCCATGCAACACTTCTGCCCCAATCAGTAAACTGTACTGGAACAACAACATAAAAATGTTTCAAAACTGACTAGAGCAAAACTCATTAAATAACTTTTTAAATTTTGGTTTTTCAAGCATTGCATGTGGTCAGTCATTGCAAGTCCTTTTGTCCTTCTTAAATACTGTAATTTGTTGCGGGTCCTGTTCTCCACAAGAGAAGAATGTAATAGTGACAAAGAAATATAATATTTCACCAATTCAGTACAGTTTTGGTGGCAAAGAAAACCCTAAAGAGAAGGTTAAAGTTACGAGCACTTCCTGAAAATTTGTTAAGTGGAGAGTCACTTTTAATTAGTGTTTACCTCTTTGTAGAGCTTCCAGCTGACTCTGTCGTTGCTGTAGGAAACATTATACTGCATCACATAATAGTCATTTATAGCTGATCTAAACCCTTGAGTAGCAATTCCACTGATTTCCACAGAATTATTTAGGTCTACTTCAATGTATGCTGGTATATCGGAATACTTGTTGGAGGGAGAACACCATGCTAGTGTATTGTTCAGACGAGCGCACCCAGCACCCATATCAGCTATTTCACCACTTCCAATATAGAAATTTTCATAGA